ATGTCGAGATGACTTCTTTAACACGTGAAGACGCTAAATAATTTTTATAATAAAGTTCATTCAATACGAGACTCGAGAGCCGCTCAAGTTAGAGGGTTACTTTTAAAATGGTTATAATCCTGGTTATAAATATACCGTTTATAATATTAAATAAATATTACTAAATCTAGATATAAAACCACCCGACTAGGCGAGAACATCTGGCTGGCGACCTTCGCAGTCGGATTAACAATGTTTCTACTTAAAGATATTAATTTCTTTTCAACTGTATAGCAACTTAAAATATGATCTTTAGTACGACTGAATAGAAGGCTGATATATTTTTAATAAGCATTATTGGCCGTCTGTGGCTACAGAGAAGATAGGTTTATATACCAGATGATATCTTCGCTACTATAAATCAGCACCGTTTTTGGTAGTTACTATTGGTCAGCTTTACAAAGTTTAACCATTCGAATGGCAGCAGTCGTTAGGCATTTTAAGCGATAAAAAACATATAGAGAAAAGCATACTCTCAGTAGCAACGTGTGAGATAAAGCTGGCAGTTCGAAAGTTCCTGCTATTATTTTGTTTACTGTACAAATATAGGCTTCATTCAAAATATCAGAATTAACACTTTTTTTAATCATTTCATCCAAGTAAGGAGGGAACGCCACTAATACGCAGGGGGTTACAGAGAGTGAAAGTGAGAGAAAAGACTGAGTATAGGAAAGACCGAGGAAAGGACAAAGGATACACGAGATTCAAGAAGATTTTTGTGACGTGAAGTGACCGTTAATAATTAAGTATAATTCAAGACTTCAATGTTAAGATAAAACAGTATTTAATTACAATTAACCATTCCAGTGAATGCTTTGTTAGTAGCCCGGCTCGGCTTAGCGTCCGGCAAATCCTAAATCAAAACCCAAATCATCGACGCACTCTAATTCGACTGAATAGTTCCATCCAACAGTCACTCAATAATCACTCCAAGTCAGTAACCTGACACCGCTATTTATACCCACGCTTGAACCTCGGTGTCGTTAGTTACTCATTTTCTTTCTATATGACAAAGATAGATGATGGCGATTGACGTTGTATTTACATTTTTGAAGATTGTATTTATCAGGGAAGCAAGTAAACGGAAGGGAGTTCCACAGGCGGGAAGTGCGAGTAAAGAAACTGTTGGAGTAGAAGTGGCGGCTGCATTTAACTATTTCAACAGTAAAAGGGTGGGACCTAGATGTCCTCTAGATCTAGTAGCACACTTAAATCCATGTAGTCGGGGCAGCAAGGAGAAAAGCTCGTCAGAGCAGTTGCCAGGGAAATATTTGTAGAAAAGACAGAAGGAAGCCACGCCACACATAATAAATACGGTGTTTGATAAGCAGTTACATAAGGTTTTCAAATTAAGCTGTTTCATCTCGTAAAGGATGCTGCTAAAAATTTCTTAATTTACGTTGAATCTACTCTGCTTCAAGCGTGTTTGCCTGAGGGTTGTCTTAAAACAATACATCTGCACTTTCACGGTATCGGGAAATGGCGTCCAATAAGGGCCCTGAAAGAAGAAAATAATACAAAACCAAATAGAAAATTTACTCAACTACGCTTGATTAACAATGTTTCTATGATTGTAACTTTTCTACAGAGGAAAGATCAAACCGGTTTTGTATCATTGACTAGAGGCCCATTTCCTATCTGGACGTACGTTCCCATTAATACATCTGGCAATCTTTAGGCCGGCTGTCATTAATTTCTCTGCATATAAAAAAAAAATCACGATAACAGTTATGTCTACACAAACACGCGTTTCCAACAAATTATTTTTTATATTAAATTTCACCTAATACACTTGTCGAGAGACACTCAAGGTAGAGATTTATCAAAGATTTTGATAATGACAAATAATAAAACGTTTATAGCAATCATTTTGATTTTATTTGATTTTGTTTAGCAGCATATCAACCTCTACGGGTTATTTGATGCTGGAACTTAAATATTTTGAACATAGTTTTATGGCTTCAACTATAGATAAAATATATTAAGAAATGGACAAAGTCCGACAATTTATTTATTAAAGACATTTTTATGTTTAACGTTCTTTTTATAGATACAAGTATTTAAGTAAATGCTCTGTTTATAATAAACAGTATTAAATAACATTTACAGGCCGGTAAATGTTATTTAATACTGTTTATTATAAACAGAGCATTTACTTAAATACTTGTATCTATAAAAAGAACGTTAAACATAAAAATGTCTTTGATAAATATAGATAAAATGTATTGTTGGTCAATTTGCTATAAAATGTATTGTTGGTAATTCTATTATAAACATGTATTGTTGGTAATTTTTTAAATATAATAATGCATTGCTGGTATTTTTACTATAACAATGTATTTTTATACTTTCATAGTGTTTTGGGACGTTCATTATTTGCTCATAGGTGAGGACCGTAACAAATGCTACCATCCCGGCTCAGGGTGATTCCACGCTCCTGAAAACTTCCAATCTCCCGATCAGAGGCCTTGCTGCCGAATGTAGTTTACGTTATACGCAGGACTATATAGAAGTTAGTTAATACATATTAAAATACATTGCCGGATATGACTATCAAAGTTTTCTAGACGGAAACCAAAGGCAAAAATAACTTTGAAAAGTTTTCATTATATAAAATATTTTTCTGTTATTATTTGTTTGAAAAAAATAGTTGTTATTTGGCTAACCTGACTGAATCGATAAATTAACATGATGTTATTTCGAATTTTTTGACATGATGGCCGGGTGGGAGTAAAAGGCATTTTAAGTGAAAACAAGCGACTCTCTCACCTTTCGCTGCCAACCTAGTGGTGTAACTACGTTTAGTGGTCCAGTCCTCGGGGTCTTAGGACGACGTTTAAACCACAGGTCTTAATCTGCGCTGGTAAATGCTGACGCTAATCCAAGCTGGTTGTTGGTCGCTAGCTGCTTCGATCCACACCGACTCTGCCCACGCTGTGTTCTTGAACTCAGAGTAGTGGAAGATTGAAGGTCGTCATAATCGCAGCGTTGGTTCAAACCGTGGAGGGTACTATATTAAGAAAGAAAATTACTTTCACGACGAAAAAACAAACCGAGATTTTTCTGATGTTAATCTTCAATTGGTTTATGTAGCTCTTGGTACAACAAAAATTAGTCCTTCCAGCATCAATCTCTATAGTGACATTAGGCCTTGTCTAAACTCCTGGAGAGCTGGATTCGAAGTCTTGGAATCAGAGGGGTCTGGTTGGCAGCTGACGTGGATTTCAGAGGCACTCAATGCGTGATCTCAGCCCAAAGTCTCTGAGCACCCTAAAGTCATCTGTTTATATGCACTTCGGTCCAAAACTAGCGTGGAGCCAAAGGATTCTAGGTATTCGGTGACTCCCCAATTTTCATTAATTTTCTTTGTTCCCTATTTCTGCTTTCTTAATCAACTTTCCAAATTTGGAGAATTATGCACTTTTCTTGAGAGTAGCCACAGGGATTAACTCCAACCTAATTAGATTCACATCTCGCACCGCTACTCCACACAGGCGGGACTAAATTATTTCCCTTCCTCCTTCCTTCTCGGTATTCTCGGAATGCCCACTTCTCATAACTGGCATAACTGTCTATGTGACAAATCTCGAATTTTTAAAGTGCGTAGGATAAAGGGTGTGGTTTATTCTCCTAATTAAGTTAAATTCTCTAACCCTTTTTCTGAACACACTTGTCCAGCGAAAAACACAAGTCAGATCACTTTCTTATTTATAAACTTTCGTGCAATAGCTAAAAATTATTTCTTAATTTGTTTTCTTCAAAGAAAATATATTTGTTTACCTAAATTCTCAACAAAGAGACACTATGTTTTCTATCCTTGGGATGGTCGCCGTCTTAGCTACATCACTTGCCTGTTATGACGGATTGATTTTCATAATTCTAATCCGAGCAGAATGTTCATTCTCTGTTTTCATTTCTCAATTCGTTTTCGCTAATGAAAATATAATTCACGCCTGTGTTTTTCTAATTTTTCAAGAAAGATAATTTCTCAGTTTGCTTTACTCGCATGTCAGATTTTCGATAGATAAAATAAGTAAATTCTCAGCGCCCCGTTCCAATTCGAAGGGGTGAGGAAAACCAGATGAACCTTTCTTAACTTCGACATTACCATGTCTTCCATTCTCTTTTTCTTTGTATCTTCCAGTTTATATTTTATTTTGGGCTTAACCCCTTTTTCTGCTTAGAATTGATGCTTAACCACCTCATAATCTCAGTATCCCAATAGTGTGAAAACTGAGCCCTCATCAAAAATGGTTATTACTAATTTGACTTTTATTAGAAAACGCCATTGATTTTTTTCCAGATCAAGATGAGCAACTAATTTTTAAGGTCTTCCATAATTTCTCTAACTGGGTCCATTGCGTATCTTTATAGATTTCCAGGGTTACAGTGACATGTCACGATTATTTTCCAGGGTTACAGTGACATGTCACCATTATTTTTTAGGGTTACAGTGAGATGTCACCATTATTTTCTAGGGTTACAGTGACAGCCAGTATTTTTCTATTCAGATATCAATATCCAATAAAGATCTTCTCATTAACATACTTTACGATAACAACTATAGAGAAATAATCAAGCAATGGTTTCTCAGTGATTTTTGATATCCCTATTTTTGTTTGTATAAGTATATCTTATTTCCCTGATGATTTTCTACTGTGTACGTTACAAAAGCTGTTATTTCATCGATCGTTTCGTCCCCGTGTGTGTTGCAAAATCTGTTAAATTACGCCTCATTTTGCCCTTAGTACGTGACAGAATCAAGGTATTTTACACCTTATTTTGTTCTGAGTACGTTACAAAATTTAATTATTTTACTCCTTATTTCTCTTTAGTACATAAGAAAATCTGTTATTTTACATTTTATTTTGTCCTTAGTACTTTCAAAGTCTATTATTTTACGCCTTATTTTAGATTAACAATTACGAGCCGTTATCCATTACATCTTCCGCATATCAAAGCTTACAGCACCTGATATTCCCAAGCAGTCACCCATCTTGGTAATGACCAGATTCAACGTTGTTTAACTTCAGTGATCATACTAGAACCGGTGATTCAACGTGATGTAGCCGTAAGGTTAAATCTCTATGTGAGCTTTGTCTAGGAATAAATTACAAAATATGACAAAGTGCTTTTTAAAACACAGTAACAAAAGAAAGAGTACTGAAGTCTTACATAGCACCAGTTCTTCTATATGGCAGTGAATGCTGGACAATCTCGCCATAGTTAAGACTTGAGGGAACAGAAATGTGGTTCTATAGAAAAATGCTGAGAATGGAACGACGAAGTTTTAAAAAAATGTAAGCAAAAATGACATTCATCAGAAAACGACAGTTGAGATTTCTAATGTACACAACGAGGAAAGAGGGCTTGGAAAATGTGATACTCACAGGACAAATTGAAGGCAAAACGGAATGGAAAACAAAGCATAAGGGACCTAAGCGAGCTTGAATGGCAGAACAGTGTTTAGGAGAGATATTAAAAAAATTAAGATCTACAAAGGACAGGGAATTGTGGAAAGCTATGATAGCCAACGTCCTGAGGGTACAGAATACATAGAAGAAGCTTCCAGGAATTTTAAATCGAACCTCTTATTCAATACACAATGTTTAGTTTTGTCATTTCAGTTTTGATCTAGCTCTGTTAATGGAATAAAATATTCAGTGAGAAATTGCCAGAATGCTAACAAATGTGACTGACACACGAATGACACACGAAAAAAAAATACAATGACTGTGATAGACACACGACTTCAAGATACACAGTGATTTTTTTCCTCTTGTGATTTCTTCAACATAGCTGCTCGTTTCTGAAAATGCTCTTCTGCTCAGGCCCATTTGTGTTTCTTCAACACTCAGTGGTTTACACTGCAACTATGCTTAGTCGACCTTAATTTCACTTCACTTCCTTGGTAAAAAAAAACATACGTTAGACACACGAAATATGTGCAATGACTATGACAGATATACGATAAAGTACAACGGTTGAAGGCTGTGACTATATCAGCAAAGATGAGGATAGTATGAAAATAAAAAGCTTAAAAATGCTGATTTCTCATTTAAAACGTTCAAAAATATTTGTTTAAACTTGTTTTCTTTTTATGGCTTTCCAACCTTTATTATGATCTATCCTCTAACACTTTGCAGTTATCCAGAAAGTGAACAAGTCGCGAAGTTTTTACGTATCTATTTCAAAACAAATAGTCAATCTGTGTGATTTTTGGTCTCGAAAAAATTGGCAAAGAAAAAAGTCAACGACAAGAAAGACTAGAACGTCAGAAGAACTGCGAAAAAAAATTAAAGGAAGACGTGATAATATTTCATTTTTTTTTTTTTAGAAAGATTATATAAGTGTTCGGTTCCTTTTTTTCTGTGAAGACTTTCTTTTTCCTTCTTGTCAAAATATCTCAGTATATGATCAATAGGAAAAAAAAATTAAATTCTTGGAATGAAAAAAGTAACAAAGAGGACAAAGTTTTCATTTATAAAATAATATTTTCACAATGATTACCAGTGTTACGTAAACTGATATTTTCTTGACGTGGGTGGAAGCACTCCTAAACTGACCGCTTAATTTAATGAGACCGGAATGAATCCAGATATGAAAACCGCCCGACTAGACGAGAACATTTGACGGGCCACCTACGCAGCCGGCTTAACCTTGTTTCTACTTAGAGAAATTCATTCTTTTTCCAACTGTATCGCAACTTAAAATATGATCGTAAGGAGGCCTAAAATAGAAAGCAGACTTTTTTTTAAAAGTAATTATTACTGAATGATTTTGGCTGCATAGTAAATAGGTTTATACACCATTTGACTCCCTAATCTACCAAAAAATCAGTATGGATTTTGGTACTCATTACTTAAAAAAAAGATAAAAGATCGAATGACAACAGCCATTAAGCATTCACAGTGACAAAAAATATTCAGAAGAGTATAGCTACATTAATAACGAGTGAAATGAGCATGGCGATCCAAAAGATTCTTCTGGGAACTTGTCTACTGTGCAAATTTATACTTGACTAGCAGCATGACCCGGCGTTGCCCGTGCTTGATTAAAAAATCCTACGACTCATACAGCAATCGCTATCACTTGATTTAAAATAGTTTGCCCTTCCTTGCCTTTAAAGGAGTGCCCTTTGCCGTGCTGATGTTGCTACATGCCTTACTTCTTGCCTATCTCACACTGAGAATTTTTTCTAACCTCTATACTAAACCATTAATCTGTTACGAAAAAAGAACTAAAATGAACACAAAACGATCAGCTTTAAAAAAAAGAACTCGTAACTGAAAAAACCGAGTGATAAAAGAATGTTAACAACAAATACGTTTTCACACCCAACCCAGTTCTGCGGAATCAGAATCAACATTGAGTTTAAGCAAGCGAATGAGCCAAATGGAGTAAAGTGCCATGCAGATTTAAATTTTTCCCACTTGTGACGAATGCAGCTATCGATTTTTTGCATGCTAGATAACATTCGAGTCAGTCAGCTATTGGCTCTCATGCTGGCCAATAGAATCTTCCTGCCTATTCGTGGCAGCCAGCTATAGGTTCTCACTCTGGCCAGTACAAAATGGCCGCCAACTACATGAAAATTGCCGTAGAAGCATGAAAAAATCGATTATTTCCCCTATCGATGGGAGTTGGGAAATGCAAAGTCGGTCTTGGCCTTCTCCCTAACATGGAGCATGTACATGTAAATTTTGGTGCAAATCTGTCGAAAATTGCGGCCGTGCATTCGTTACACACACACAAACACACACATTCTGCCTTTTATAGATAGAGATACAAAGGCAGTAAATGTAACTTTTCCAATATAGATAGCGTTTCATAAAGGGGAAATTAATAGCCAAAAATCCTTTAAAGACAGTTTCTGCTTAGAGAAATTTATTCAATTTTCAACTGTATAAAAACTTAAAATTAGTTTCATAGGCCGTTATAACAAAATAGAAAATAGACTTATTTTTAATATAATTATTAGTGGTCACTGTGGTTGTATAGAAAAAAAAAGTTTTCATATCAAATGACCTCCTGCTTCCCCGCAAATCAGTAAAGTATTTGGTAGCCACTTTTGATCAGCTTTACAAAATTTAACAATTCGAATGGCAGCAGTAATTAAGAATTTTCAGTGACAACAAAACATTCAGAAAACCATATCTACAATAGCCACGAGTATTACTTTGTCTATTGTGTAAATACTTTATTCAAAAGTAGCAAAACTGACACAATATATACAACGTTTGACACAGGAAAAATTAATAACCCAAATCCTTAAAGATAATTTCAGAATGTTTTCAGATTAAGATGACTGATCTAGTAATGGGTGGTCGGTAAACTTCTGACGGTAACATTCGATAATTTGCATTGAACCTAATCAACGTGTCAGATATTTGCCTTAAGGTTCGACTCAAGTCTTGGAATAATACATCTGCACTTTTACAGCATCGGAAAAAGACGAATATTAAAAAGCCCAAAGAATTAATTTTTTTTTTTAAAATCGTTTCACCCACAATCAAGTTGATAATGCCATTAATACGCAGAAGTTACATGGAGTGAAAGTGAAAGAGAATAAAAAGATTTTAGTGAGGAGGATTGAGAAAAGGACAATAAAAGAACAGGATTCAAGAAGACAGATGATGTTGCATTTACATATTTTTGAAGATTGTACTTATCAGGGAAAAGTCAGTCCACAGGTACGAAGTGCGAGAAAAGATACTGTAGAAATGGTGTTTGCATCTAACCAGTACATCAGTAAAACGGTGAGACTTAGTTACCAATCTAGTAGTACGCTTAAATTCATGTCTTCGGGACCCCAGGGAAGAAAAGCTTATCCAAGTAGTTGCCATGAAAATATATGTAGAAAAGACATAGGTAAGCTATGTCATGTCAGTGAGAAAGAATTGACTGAAGTCGAGATGCCAGATCAGGATCGATTACATTACAGGCCCTTCTTTGGATTTTGTCAAGAATCTTAAGTTGAATAGCATGAGACCAGATATGGTAACAGTATTCAATGCAACAGAAAACAAAATATTATAGAAGATAAAAACGAAATCATGAAAACATGAAGATTGTCATTTGTTTACAGTCAAAAGATTGAAACGCTTTTGTTTCGATTATTGAATGGTGATGAGAAATAGATAAAACATGATCCTTATATAAGAATTCGTTTTTTTAATGATTTTTTTCCTGATAGTGTCTGAATGAAAATGATTGCATCTTCTAATCTTTTTACATTTTTGTTAACCAAACTGTAGTTAAATAAGAGATAAATATATATTTTTTAAAAAATGTTTGTTTGGTAGACAATATTTGATTAAAACATAATTCTATCTCATATTTAACCATCATCTCGTTATTAAAAAAAAAAAGATAAAATGTTTAATCTTGTTCCATTCAACTATCATCGGCCAATTGAAACAGAACTAAACTTTTTTTTAAAGCGGTTGTTAAATATGAGAGGAGATTATTTAAAAAATGCTCGTTTAGCACAGCGCTTCTTAAACTATGGGTCGCGACCCTAAATGGTGTCTCAAAGCGAAATGCTGGGCTCGCGAAAATTAAATTCAAACACTTGAATTTCAGTTTACATGTTATTTCTCAAATGCTCAATATTTAACATGATGCGCCACACAAGCGTTGCGGTAATAAAATGGCCGTGCGTAGCCGTTTCGACTTGTGCAGTAACAAAGGATGTATTTTCAGTGTATTTGGTTAATAACCTGGAGTCGCGTAAAATCTCGTGATGAAAAATGGGGTCATGAATGAAAAAATGTTTAAGAAGCGCTGCTTTAGCAGATGATTGATGAATGAAAGGGGGGGGGCTCATTTTTCAACCCTTTGAACCCGGACAACCAGTTTACCACCCAGAATCAGTGTGAAAGATCCGTACTCATCAGGGGTCAGGTTTCAAAGATTTAAGTATTGGAAAACCAGACGGTGTTTAAATAAGCGATAGCAATATTTTGAAAGTATTTGTTCGACATGATATTTGAATAAAATATAATTAAACTTGTTACGGTTTTGATAACCAGAGGTTTATTAAACAAATGATAAGATTATTTTTATAAAAGG